TTATTCTTTAGAAGTACTTGCATTAATTGGGAAAGTCATGTTTTTTTCCTTCATACTTAATGATCATATGAGAAGTTGCAACTAATTAAAGGATTACAAAAACAAACCAGGCCATTCCCAGAAACATACTGCACTTCTCCAGAGGATGGATGCCTTGCGCCATCCAGCTCAGTAGGGCCTTGCCATTGCCTGAGTCAGGGAGAGGCGCAGCAGGAGGGTGTGTTTAGGATGAAAATTTAGAAAAACAAACAGAATGAGGGTAAGATTGGGTCCTGGGGTGTCAAAATGCCTGGTGACTTTGGTCCTGGGCTCCATGTAGTGCTGCACTCAGGAAGAACCTTCCACAGTCTTGCAGAAGCTGGACACAGCCCAGTTGCAATCTGGAAATGTGTGTACTAAGATTGCCCCCAACAATGTTGATGGCCTTTTACAGCTGGCCCATCACAATACAAAATAATCAAGGTACTTATTTCATGGGTCAGGATGTGCAATTCAGTGATGGGCAATTCAGTTACAGATTCTGTGGAAGGTGCATGTCCCATACCATGCATGTTCAGAATTCCTACCCTTGATTAGAAAAAAAAAAATTAAAGGTAAGAATGACACAGCTTCTGTTCTCAAACTACTTAAAATTTATTGGGAAAATAGATGTATACAAAATTCTTCAAAAATATAATAATAAAAAGTGAGCATTAATGGAGCAGTAATTCTGGGGTGGGGGATTCAGGAAAAAACTCTTCCAAAATGGTGGTGTGTTGCCCAGACCATGTGTGTTGGTCAGCTTTTTGTCACTGGGACAAAATACCTGAGAAAATCAATTTAAAGGAGGAAATATTATTTTGACTCACATTATCAATCCATGGTCACTTGGCCCCGTTGTTTTGGGCCTTTGTGGAGGCAGAACATCATGACAGGAGTGTGTGTAGTGGAACAGAGTGAAGGCCATGAGAAGGGACAGGGGCTAACTTTGCAAATTTCTACTACCTCCCAATAGCACCATCAGCTGGGAGCAAAATGTTCAACATATGAGGCTTTGGGGGTATTTCAAGATCCAAACTGTAATTTTGTGTTTGGATAAACACCTTCCAAGGAGAAGGGATATGGGATCAGGCTGACCAACATACTATTGGGGAAACACCTGCCTCTGTGGTTAATGAGCCCCAGAAAGGTCATTGCTTATCTTCCTTCTGAAAATGATTGTCTTGCCTGCAAGAAATTCACCAAATCCAGAGTCCAGAGTTTAAATTTCGCATGAATTTATATTGACTAAAATGGATCTTGTTAGTTACCTTGTCCTATAGCAATGGGATATTTAGGCTTGACAAACTATAGGCATGTAGTGAGACAGTGAGAGGGTCATGAGCATAAGTTCCTTGCTTTGTATGATATAAGGAGAAGAAAACTAAGAAGAAATATCACCAACTTATCCATAAATTAATATCATCCCTCTGTAGCTAGTCTAGGCCATTTCTCATTGATGAAAGATTACTAGACTGTGCCGACTTAGAAGCAATCTTGATATTTCAGAAAAAAATAATTAAATATGGTATAATTGATGTCACTAGCAATATCCCAGGAATCTCAAAACTTGATGTTTAGAGTTTGTAAAGAAAATCACTTCCCCAATCTCTCTTGCTTTAATTTTCCAAGGGATTTTGGTTCAAGGTAATATAAGTATTACCTTCAGCATGGTGTCCTATTGTCATTTCTATACCATACAACATGTTTACGTGTAAACTATTATATGCCATAGTGTAGTTTTTAGGGTGTCAGACTCCCTGTGCTAAAACAATGATCCTTCACTTGTGTGGTCTCAGATAAATTCTTTGCCTCAAATTTCTCATCTGTAAAATAAAGAAAACCATGATACCTATTGCATATGGTTATAAGTTTTAAATCAGATATTTCATGTAGAGTCCTTAGCAAAGAATATTTTATTATTACTCAGACCTATGAGAGTTGATAGATTTGCTACCATGTGCAGAGATAGCATGTGAACAAGTGGTATTGATAACAGTCTCCTTTTCTTCTGTACTTTCTAATCTATTAATTTAGAACAGAAAGTGAGTGTTTTATAAAGAAATATACTTTTATTTACTATATCAAGCACAATAGAACACATTCCTATATTATAAATGTATAGCTGGATAAATTTGCACAAAATAAAAGCATTTGGATGTAAGCACCTACATATAATATTAGGACATTTTCTGGCCTCCAGAAGCCTTCATATATTCCCTCCAAGTCCTGATTCTCCCCAGAAGGTAACCCTTTGAGGCTTGTAGCACTAGCATGTAATTACATTAAAATGTATAATAAAATATGTATTCTTTTGTGTCTCTCTTTCTTTACTGTGCTTGCGAGGTTTATCTTAGGTTTTGAATAATTCTTCCTTGTTGATTTTTATAGGCCATTGTATGATGATACTATCTTTTTTATTCATTGATTTTCATATTGCTACACATCTAGGTTGTTTTGAATTGGGGACAATTATGATTAAGATGCTATTCATACTTTGGTACAAATATTTTGATGAGCCATTCACCTGCATTTCTGCTGCATATGACCCGGGAAATGGAATTGCAAGGTCTTGCAACATGGATCTGTTCAGTTGCACTAGATACTGCTACCAAAGACAGAATCGAAAGTGCTTGTACCCATTTATGCTTCTTGGTTGTTGTAATTTTAGCAATTCTGATAATATTACTTTGTAGTGTAAATTTTGCATTTTCCTAATAATTAAGAAATTATAATTTAGTTTAACACTAATAATAATAATAAAGTTTAGCACTTTGTCCATGAGTATGCCATCCCTTTTGATATGATTGTGCAAATGTTGCCATTTTCTATTATGTTTTCATTAAAAAATCAATTTAAATAAAGTGTTTATATATTCTATATATGTTGTTTTCTGAATATATATGTTAATTTCATTCTATGGGTTGAATTTTTACTCTCTTAATCATTGCTTTGTTTTTGGTTCTAGAGTTTGAACCCAGAGGTGTTTTACCCCTGAACTATATCCCCAGCTCTTTATATTTTATTTTATTTTTGAGACAGGATCTTGCTCAATTGCCCACACTGGACTCAAATTTGGGAGTGGTTCATGGTTGGTTGTTTCTCAGCATTGCTGTAATAAGAGGTCTCTCAACTAATCTCCACTTAATGGATTCCTTTGTTAACCAATGTTCTGTATTTCTGTAAACAATATTAGCTAATGTTCAATGCCACTTAAATGTTCATAGCTATAAGCAGACTAATCTAGAATAGTCACACCTTCCTATTGCTTCCTATCAACTCATATACATACTAAGAGTTCTCTATGTATACCAATTTTATTTATTATAGCAGTTAAATTATTTTATCAATTTTGAGGCAATGACAAACATATTGCTTGTATTATAATTAATGTATATTCTTTAAAAATCTAGATTTTAAAAGTTGTAAAAAATTATGACCAAGATAGTTATCAACATAAAGATTTTAAAAATATAGATTTTCACTTAAAATTGATTCTCAAGTGGTGTTAATTTTTACCACATTTTAAAAACTCTAAAACTAAAAACTAAGAATGATGAATAATAGATTATTCATTGAAGAATAAATTATGTTGTACCCAATAATAGAAAGCCCTTGGTCCTGCAAGTAAACATTAATTAGTGTGCTAATTTACATTTTCTTGTTTTAAGTAAAAATAAATTACCAAGAGTATGAATGTGTATCACTTTTTTTTAATGATTTCCTGAGGATCATGAGCAGTTCTGAGTTACATCTTCAATAATGGTAAAGACTCTTGAGTTCCCATCATTCAGGATTACAGAAACTAACAGTAAAACTTCATGCTACACACTGAGCTTTCTATGAAATTCTGGAACCAGTGTCCAGCCTTTTATAGAGACTTTTATGGAGCTGTCTGTGAGTTTCCTTTGCTCATTCTAAATCAGGCTTTCTGGGAGCTGCTTTCAATGTTGTAAATTGTGCAATATAAATTCAATTTTTTAAAATTTATTTTTTAGTTATAGGTAGACACAATATCTTTATTTTATTTTTATGTCGTGCTAAGGATTGAACCCAGAGCCTCACACATGGTAGGCTAATGTTCTACCTCTGAGCCACAACCCAGCCCCACTATGAATGCCATTTACAAATAAATTAGTATAAATTCCATTTTGATCCTGAAGACATAGTAGCTGATCAGCCTAGTTTCTCCTTAGAGCAAATCATTTCTAAGATTTGTCTTCTGCCAGGGATCTCTAACACACTATTACAAGACTAATGTATTAGTTTGATTTTGTTTCAGAGGCAATGGCCTATAGTGAATAAGTTTAGTGATTAACCATTCAGCTTATCTCAGTCTTTTCCCTTCTAGCTTGTTACAGTATAACAAGCTCCTGGAAAAATTAAATTTTATTAGTTTTTCATTCTGCCATTTCCATCAGGCTTATTGATATGGGCCAATTTATTTCATGACTTGGGTATAGACGACTACTATAATGACTGTTGGCCCAATTGTGAATCCAGGAAAACCATAAGGTCACAGCCACAGATATATTCCTAAATGGCTTTCCTGATGAAGACTTTCTCTCCAAGCAAATATACCTCTGCTTCCATTTAATCCATTGAAAAAGGGTATAGGGAGGTGATGAGCTATTGTTTGCACGAAGTGTAGGGCAAAGAAAATCCTCTTTACCTAGTCTCTCAATTGTACATTTAATAGAGACGTGCTTACTAGATAGATCATCTTGGATTAAAAGAGGGTAGGATCCTGAGATTTCAGATGCAAACATCTCTTAAAGAAAAGAGTGGCCCAGTTCAAATAATCCCTAGTTGGGATGCCCAGATAAGGGAACACCTTGACAATAGCAGCAAGGGTGGTGGGGGCGATCTCACTGTTCATTAGTATTTCTCCTAAGGCTTCTTAGGGGCTTGAAAGAAATTTTGAACTGAAAAGTAGATGCATTAGATTTAGAGATACTCTTTCATCAAAGCTATCATCTTACTGTATACCCGTTGCGGGGCATCGAGGCCCCAGACGAAATCAAAGTGGTTCCACTCTGGCAATAGTTTGAAGTAACGAAGATTCCTAATTTGGGGGAGTATCCTGTCAATGTCCTTTGGCGTTATAAGCATGTCGTGTCCACCAGCCCAAATAGCAGTGGGCACTTTCATGGCAGTCAAGTCATACAGTGGAGGACGACTCTGAAAGAGAAAGAAAAGGCATTCATGAGAGGAGGCGCCTCATAGCAGCAGCTGAACTCCAATAAATGGGAAGGCTGTTAAAGGAGTGTCTGCCATGATCATTGCTCTGTGAGGCAATGAGGGAGGTAAGAAGATACTCTACTATCCCCACCTTCAAGGAGCACAGAGGAACAAGAAAGACATGGCAGCTATACAAACATCTGAATGTAAAGTAGTGTATGCTGCATGCCATAAAACACCCCTGAAAGGCAATGGAAGTGAAAAGAAAGAAGAAATTGTTTCTAACTGGGGGCTTCAAAAAAGAGGAGTCAACCGGTCACCATAGTATATAACCGTAATGCCAGTGATTTGGGAGGCTGACAAAGGAGGATCACAAATTTGAGGCTAGTCTAGGTAACTTAGTGATAACCTGCCTCAAAATGAAAACAAAACAAAACACTGGTGAATGAGATGGATGGCAATTAAAAGCTGAGAGTGACTTAAGAGTACTTACAATAGAAAGATAAAGAATGAAACTACATTTTCCAAGGTTAAGGAGTGAGCCAAAGAGGGAAAGAAGCCCTCTTGAATATTGAAAAATGTTAATAGAAACAGTGAAGGAATGATGACAACTAGATAGAATTGACAGGTTAAGAGAAGGTTTGTTTGCTCTTTTTCATAAAGGACGGGAGTTCATGTAAGATAACAAGAGCAACCAGGAGGAATGGGAGGAAAAAATTGGATCCCAAGGTATATTTTTCCATATAACTTTACACACCAAAACTTTAGGAAGAGGTGGTAAGAAGATATAGGGAAAAGGACACAGAAGCAGATTATCTTCCTAATAGAGAAAAGAGGGGGGAAATTAGGAAGACAGAGATATTTGGGTGCAGGTAAAGTTCATTTACACAACACATAGGTATTAAGGGCTCTGGACATGCCAGGTTCTCTTCCAGGTGAGAAAACATTGGGGAATGAGATGGAGGGAAAGCCCTACACTTATGGCACTAGGTTGATCCTCTAACACTCAATAACACGTAATGTGGGAACAGAGATCAAACTGGGGACTTGAGGGAAAGCAAGGTGAAGCTAGTACAGACTAGTTTCTCTAGGGGAATGTAATGAAGTTGATTTTAATGATATAGTTTACCTCTTGTAATTGTCTTAAGAGGTTAGTAGAATCTTATTCCTCTAACAATTTATTTCATTGCTCAGAAAGTGACTAGTCTAATTGTTTTGATCCTGAGAAACAACTTAATTGATATGTGTTTGCACTAGCAAAAAGTCTTTAAAGATAGTCTGGGAAGACATTGGAAAATTTAATTTAATGTACTTAGTTCATATTTAGAAGCCCAATCCCTGACTGAGAATAGAAAGGTTGTAAAGGGAGAGATTTCAAATGAAGTGCTAAATGAGTCTACAAATTTTGATATGTAAAGTTGTATGGAAAAAGATGCCTTATGATCCAATTCTTAAATGTTAAATAAAGCTTTTTAACTTTCATGTGGAATCTTAGTTTTTTCCCCTGTTGGTATGAAAAAATGTGTATGTATTCTGTCAAAGTTTTTCCGAAACAATTTCCATTATTATGCTCCCATTAAAATCACACATACACACACACAAATATTATATATATATATCAGAAATTTATTATTAAAGCAAAATGAAATTCATACTTTCTGCTATGTATGAATAAATTTATTTCCCTCTACAAAATATATTTTGAAAAAAAAGCTATCAGTAACATTGGTTATCTTACTATAATTTAAAATGAAGAAGCAAGATTAAAAGTTATACAAACCAACATGATCCTGAAAAAAACAGAATAAATATGTCAGATCATTAATACATCCAGTTACTTCTGGGTGGTAGGATATAAATGATTTTACTTTCTTTATACGTATCCCTTTTATTTCCTAAAAATTCTGAAATGAATGCAGATTAAAATTAGATATTTATTTCATAAAATTCTCATCAGCATAAATGTCACCAATTAGCAAGTAGGATTCTTCTTACTCTCAAATAATTTCATATTAAAACTTCTCAAAATCCCCTCCTCGGGTCATTCTCAGTAGCTTACCTGATTATAATGAAGCATATTTTCAGCTTCACTTCCCCAGTCATAAGCTCTGAATTCTTCAGATCGGTAAAGCTGAAATAAATGTGTTTTAGAAAAAGAATATTTAGGATAAGAATCATGATTTCCAAAGGCAAATCTGAGAAAAACACTGGGAAGAAAACAAGGCCCCTGGATCACCAGAAGAATGTATATCTTACTATTATCATGAAAAATTGTGTCCTTTCTATTGAAAGGGAAACAATGGTCTTCTTTGGTTTACAGGAAAAACTAATGAAAAACCAAGTCTCTGTAGAAGAAAGTCAAATCCCAGATTTTTCTCTCTCTGGAAAGGTTGCAGCTCTTCTGAGGCCCTCTCAATTTAACTCTTAACTTAAACTCAGGGACTACTTTATTTGTTTTGATTTAAGATGGGATTCATTTATGTCTGCACTATAAACCTCCCCACATTCTTTGTGAATCTAGGGAAATCAAAACAGGAAGGAGGCAACAAGGACAAATTGAAAGCAAGTTGCTAAGTTCTTGGGTGAGTCTGAGAGTGAACTCTGTCCTTTATCTATAATGAGAGTAAGGACTGGTGTGGTTTCCCACGACAAGGACTCTACCTGTTTTAAATGCAGTATGTTCTGTATTGATGATCCAGTGGGAGCATGGGATAGATACACATCCATTCGACTCTAAGAGAAACCAAACCCATGTTACAGCAACAATCACCCAATGAAATGAACTGTGCATTTCAAAAGCAGGAATTAATGATCGATACTGGTGTTTTGAAAATGATGAGGGAGAATCATCTAAATAAACCCATACTGATGTCAGGAACTTGAATGTGAGTGAACCATAGGTTGACTAGTAAGATGGGCTGCTGGACAGCAAACCTGCGCCAGCTCTGAATATGCAGGTTAATTCACTTATTTTGAAGTAGAATCAGGTGTGATGGACATTAAGGAGCTCAGAAACCAGGGAAGGTGTTATGTGCAAGAGCACGTTGCTATGTGCATGTGCACACATGTACACTGTCACAGATCAAGAGGTATAAAACCTGGATTTTAGACTCATGTTGTTCATTGTTCAGCTCTATGACCTTGGTCAAGTTATGGAGTATCTCTGAGTCTCTGTTTTCACTTCTTGTAAATGAATATATTAAAAATATTACAAACTGGCTAGGCTCTTATGGGAGTAAAAGTAAAACTAAAAGTCAATTCTTTCCAAAGAGTACTTCTGTAAAAATCCTAAGGATGAAAATTATAGAGATCAAAGAGTAATTGTAATTATATGTCTTAGAATATAATGCACTCATTCAAGGGAAATTTAAAAATCTGTACTTCTGGAAAAAAACAGGCTTTGAACAATGGTTCCTCATGAGTTTCAACTTAACATAATTTAGCTTCTACAAGCATAGGGATGGACTGGCTTGTGGAAAATAGATATCTTGGGACTGAGTTCACTATAACACACTCATTGGCTGATAATTAGAATACAGCAGAGAAAACTATTCAACCACACTAATCTGTGAATGGAAATTGCTCACCTCTTCCTCCTTTTTGAATTCTCAATAACAGGAAACAAAGATTTGATTTAAAATCGACTACTACTTCTTCATAGAAAGGGGATTCTATTTCCCATATTGTCTGAGATTTTTCCAAGTTAAGTGGTGAGTTTTATTTGAAACCACAGTCACTCATACAGGAAGGCACATATGAAATGAGAACAATGCTTTCATCCTTTTCTAGGATTTCATTTTATAACTCAACATATTCAAATGAAATAAATACATGTTAACTGTAGTACATTGTGGCTGATTGTGAACAGGTGAAAATCTATTACTCATCATAGAACATCCACGCTCCTAACTTTGACCAGGGATGGAAGGATGCAGCTGCCTTTCCCTTCCACAGTCCTTACATGTAAGGTCCATGGAATATCTAATCAGCTATGCATAGCAAATATCTGCCTTTAAAGGTGCCTTTAAAGGACCATACAAACTATCGTGTAATACATGGATAAGAATGAATCACAGGAAAGCTGGGATTTCTTCAAGCATTAAATGGCTCCAAAATTATTATACATACCACATTCATATTTTTCTTGTTGTATCCAGCCCATAAGGACATAAATTCACTACATATCACCCAGAGTATTTTATTGTTGCAGATTTTGGTAGAAGGTGTCTTCTTGGTCTTATCTTCTAAAAAGAAACCTTTAGTACCAAACATAGCCTGTAAAAATAAAAATCAATTATCTTTTCAAGATCCACGTTCAGACTTCTTGAAAATACCTTCATTGTAGGAATGTATCATAGTGGAGGATCACTTGCTGTTTAGTCCAGGAAACCAAGTTGCTCAGGAAAAATGACTTAGGAATTCACTTCCAAATGAGGAAGATCAATAAACATTATTTACAGGGAGTCAGCAGTAAGGAATCTTCACCTCAAATTTAGTTCTTCATGGTGAAGCTTCCTATTTTCTGTCTAATCAGAAATTGCCATTATTCCTCATTTATTGATAAGAGAAATGGGATGGTTTTTTTTTCTTAAGGTGAAACATTATACTGACTAGAAAGGAAAAGCAGGTTTTTCATATTACTCATGTACACATTGGCTTTCTTGTACTGTCCTGGATTAGTCAGCTGTCATCATGTAAAGTACAGAATGTAGTACCAAAGAGAAGGTGCCACTGAACATGGAAGTTTTGTGATGACGTCACAAAGACAGCATAGCCAAAAACTTCCAAGTCTTGGAAAAATAAGCTTCTGGAGGTAGTCAAAGGCAGTGGGGAGCCAGAGAATAGGACTTAAAATGGCAGGAATTTTGACAGTACAGAATGTGAACTAAGATAACCCAGGGACATTATTTGGTTGACTTCTGATCTATAAAATAGCAACACATGTATAAAACTGGTTTATTTATAGATAGATATATCTGCCTCTGAATTTGACAGATTAGTTTACTTAACCCTGCCCAAATGGAGGTAACTTTCATGATTAACTGATGTCAACACATTTTGAAAAAAAACTACCAACCCTGCAAAGGGGATATCACCTCACTTGTGCTCACAGTAAACAATAGAATAAAACTGTTATCAAATGAATCATTAGGCCTAACAGAAATTCCTCCTTATGTTTGCTCATTAATAATTTTTCCCATTCCTACTACTCTACTCCAAATCTGGGTCTCATCTTTTAATAAGCGAATTATTATGATATTCTAAATAGTTTCCCTTGACTTCATTTTAGCCCAAATCCATTTTTTACCATTGCCCCAAATTGAAAGGGCAACCTTTTAAAAATATATGCTCTTTGTGTACATGACCTTCATGGGAAAACAAAAACAAGCAAAATACAGAACAACGATTTGGTGAATAAAATTTCAAATCTATAATTGTCAATTACAGAACCTTTTCATCCCTTAAATAATACCAATAAATACTTGAATAAATACATAGGCTGTAAGACACTGAGGCTTTGAAATGTAACTTTAATAAATTAGAGCAAGCTCCCATATGGAAAAAAATTATGTTAGGCTTATCTAACATCTAAATGAGGACATCCATGACCATACATAACTTGAAGAGTGTCTTCTAATTGGACATTGTGAATTCATTAACCTGCCCAAATAAATAGAACAAGAAAACTTGTGAGAAGACTCTCTATGAATATAGCACTCAGCTCAGATTGAGATTTGGGCATGTACTCAGCTCTGTGACTGGGTACAGTAGATATTGTGTGGGGCCCGTAGATACCATGGCACACACAGGTGCACACACAATACACACATTCACAAGCACATGTTCATGGAGTCTTAGATTTTATTTACTTAGAGTTCTTACTTTACTTCATAATAGATTTAAAGCTAATAAAGATCTATGATCCCAAATGAGATCCTCAGGTAAATTTTGGCAAAAGGAGAAGCCTACCTTGATTATGGAATTTGGAAGTAGAAAAAAACTGGTAAAAATGCTTGTGGGATATCTGAATGAGATCACAGGACTCAGGGCAAAATTCATTTTGATTCTTTGTGCCAGTTCAGGCATGGTGGAAAAGGCTACAAATCCTGGGAGAATAGAGACAAGATAATCTTGTAAAAATTAAAAATACATAGGCAATATTTCTACCAGCAAAGGTGGGGATCTATTTATTCATTTCCTTTGTCCTTCTATTGCAACAATTTTGTGGATGAAGTGGGATTTTTTTCTGCAAAGATAATCTGCCTTCAGTTCTTTCTACTCCCAAGTCCCCCTTTCTTTTATTCCATTGATGGACAATTTAATTTGGTTGTGGATATGGAGTACCTGGTAGGTGAAGGGGGAGGGGGAGGCTGCTGAAGCATCTACTAATAGCTGGGTGAACTGTACTCAGTCTCACCTCCCAAGCATGGGGTGAATTATGGGGAGAATCATTTTACCCCCAACTCTGAGATGAGCAATGAGTCACAGAGCTTCTGAAAGAAAATAATCAGTCCACAAAACATGCATTAATTGGTTCATCCACAATATTATCCAGTTATTCCATAGGATTTCTTTCTCACTATAGAGTAAGATTTCTTTGCTCCAGTGCCTTGCTGGATGCTCACCAATAACTCAGACTCTTTCCAGCTTCCAACATGGAAGGGGCTTTTGTTGGGTCCACTATGGTCCCAGTAAGGACCTAGTCCTTCCATTGGTTCTGCTCTTTCAACAGTATCCCTGTGAGGATGATGGCGAAGATCATCACTAGGCTAAAAAGACTACGCAGGGTACCTGTGTACTTTGATTTCATGAGGTGATTTCCTGGGCCTCCGCTGGAAGCGGGGTGGGTGTGTGGCACACAGAGATGCTTACTAAAATGTTAAAACTATTTTGGCCAGTGGGGGAAAAACTGAACAAGTGACTAAACAATTGAGTCAACAACTCTGAACAAGGGGTAATACTTCTGCCAGAGGGTTTTTGAAAACGTATACAGGTGAGTTTTCTGGTGGTTACACTAATTTGGAAGCCATACTGACATTTAGTGGGCCTGGGACTTGGATTGCTAAATGTCCTTCCAACAGTGGATCCTTTCCATGTGACAAAGTTACTCTGTTCAAAATACAAACAGGGCTCACTGAAACATTTCATGCCCTCCGTATAGTGCAGAACGCTGATGGTCATATTCTCTGTATTCTCTGCAGATTAAATGTAAGAGTATATCTAAGTCTCACTTTCCCAGATTCAACTCAAGTCATTCTCCTCTGTACAGTCCTCTCTTCATAGTGCCCAGATCCTCTGTTGGTGAAGTCAGACTGACTTGGTTTGCATCTATGTTCTGTCTCTATGTGCTCAGAGACCTTAGGAAACTCAGTTTCTCTGAACATCTTTTTCCTCTTGTATGAGATGGAGATAATAACAGTAGAGTTGTTCAGAAGATTAGAGGGAGAAAAAGCACTGGACATAAGGTCTTAAACATAATCAGTGCTTAGTAGGCACTAGAAATTATGGTAAAATTATTCTCCTCTCAGTAGCATTTCTTGGACTCTCCTAGCAGTCCTTTGATATTCTTTTGGTCTGTGTGCTCTGATCTCCCTGACTGTTTCAAGCTTGTAAACTGTCATTATAAAGTGATGCTCTGTATCTGTTTATTATTGATGTTGATGGTGGTGGTTGTGGAAATATGGTAACAATATTTATTGCTTCTTGCATAGTTTTACCCAAATTGTGCATTTTCCACAAGTTATTATCTTAAAATTAGAAACTTTAATGGAAGATCAATAACAAATTCAAATTTTTATTAGTAGTTTCCTTTAAATTTTTTTGATGGGTACCAGGGATTAATTCAGGGGCACGCAACCACTGAGCCACATCCCCAGCTCTATTTTGTATTTTATTTAGAGACAAGGTCTTAATGAGCCTCACTTTTGTTGAGGCTGGCTTTGAACTCATGATCCTCCTGCCTCAGTCCCCCAAGCCACTGGGATTAGAGGCATGTGCCACCATGCTTACCTCTTTTAAACTTTTACTTGGAACTAGATTACTGATTTCTTTCCAAAAAAATCTTGACAATCATTAAGGTATACATTTTTTAAAAGAAGGTGATTTTTTAAATTATAAATATCTATACTGTTTACATTTGTTTTTTTTTATTGGTTGTTCACAACATTATGTTTACATTTGTTATTAGATGAATATTAGATAATATGCTGAGCATATTAGCTCAGTTAATTTATCACAATAAGCTTTTGTGTCCAATCCATAAAAAATGAGACCTTATCTTTTAAACTTGTTTAAATTAAATATGATCCTCTCCCTTTTATTTTATTTCAATCCAAACTAGGTTGTAAGGAAGACCCCATTGGTTCATATTTATCATTTCTCAGAGATATTTCATGATACTATGCTTCAGTTTTTCAGCTCAGAGGAAATCTAGAAACTTATTCTTTAGAATTTCCTCACTGGATTGGGGGCACGTGATTATTTGTGGAAAATTACAACATCATTACAGATGTGTGGCTATGACCCAAAATTGAGGAAAAGTTTGCTGGACATGCTGCCTGTCTCTGGACTGGAGGTTCACAGCCACTCAGAGCGTGAAGGTTGTTCCCAGCACAGGACAGAGTATTAAGGGCACTATAAATAGCAGTTACTCTATTCCAGTTTAAAGGCATATTCCCATAAGATTCTAATAACACTGGCCCTTGTTAGCATACCTATGGTAGTGCCGAGTGAATGTCCAATGAAATACAACTTTTCCTGACCAGTTTTATTCACAATGAAATCTATTATTCCTGGGAGGTCGTATTTGGCCATTTCATCAAAACTGCAAAATAAAATAAGGGCTTATAAATACTTTAAACTGTAAGTTTAAAACTCAGACACTTTCCCACTTCTTTTTTTACACCCAGAATTCTGTGCTGTCTACTTAGTCAGTGGATATCTCATTACTTACCCAATTAAGTATAGACCATTGTAGCTTTTGTCTTGATTTACAGGTTACTTCCTAATAACAGAAGTGCTTGTAAGACTTGGGGATGCTATCTAAAGTTCAGTCTTATTCTTCATTCTATTCTCTTGCTTTTCTTTCTCTTCCCTTTCCCCATATAGTTTGCATGTCTCTGCTTCTGACAATCCAATGGGATTCAAGACTCCTAGGGCTAGTGTAATACTCACTTTTGGAAACAGGACTGTTGTCAGTTATGGTCCTATCATTCACTAGCTGAGTCACTTTTGATAAGTTCCTGAAATGCCCTGAGCCTAAACTTCCTCATTTGAGAAATGAACAGGATAGGTCCTGGTTTCGAGGGCTGCTCTAGGCATTGCATAGTGTGAAAGAAATGACCTGACTATTGGTAGTCACCTGATCAGATGTTGCTATTATTAGTACTTCTTTCTATATATTCAATATATACAAAAGTTCTATAGTACCAGTCCAACCAGCATTAATGAAAAGGCCTGTTATATTGTCAGGTACACCATGAGCTAGAGACCTGCTTGTTAAAAGCATATATGAGGAGATCTCTAAATTGATACTACCAAGTATAAGTGTAATTTTGTAATGCCTTCAAGTACATTTACCACCAAGCTCCCAGTCAAGGACTTGGTGACATGAAATGCTTCCTGACTAGCACCTTCCACAGAGCTCTAGCCCTAATAATTTATTCTATCCTCCTTCTCCTCTCAGCCTGTCACTGGGTGCTTAATATTTCATTAATATTCAAGAATATAGGAACGCATGGTCTATTCTAGCAGCAAACCAATAGGGAGCTTAAGTTTGAGGAAGGGCAAGCTATTGTAGGCACCAGCTTATCATCTGGTAGCAGAGAAACACTTCCATTAAAAGAAACAGACAACATATTAAAATATTCTCATTGCCCATTAATACTGTTTTGAAAATTTTATATTGAAATTTTCCTGAAAATTGTATTCTTTTCAATCTCAGAACAGTGTTTTTAAAACAAATACAGTATTAATACACATCATCTTTGCAAAATTGATTGGCTGTCTAGGAAAATATTTATAAAAATGCCATTAGAATAAATACAAGCTTCATGAGGCCAGGGATTTGATCTGAATAGATTTGAATGCTCGGGGCATAAGATAGTACATACAGTAGGCACTTTATAAATATTGGTTGAATGAATGCATGCATGGGTCATAGGAGTATTCTGAGTTGTCCCTTGAACATATTTATAAAGTATAGTCAGATTGAATTGGAATGTCAGATGATCTTGTTTAACTGGCACATTTGCCTGTGGGAGAATCAGTCAAAATGAAAGATTCTTACAATTTAAGATGTCAGTAGAAATGATGAGGAGCTTCATGACTTCAAGTATTATAGACTATTATTAATACCATCCATACTAATATATATTTCAAGAAATTGCCTCCAACTTGTTTTTCTTAGATATAGTTTACCTAAAGGCCCAGAATTTCTCTTCATTTTCTGAGAGTGTTTTGTGTCTTCTTGACCAAGTGTTCCCCCGACTATTTCCCATCCATACGTCGTAACCTGCATCTGCTAGAAGGAATCCAAGGCTTCCATTGGCATAATTCTCAAGCCAGTAGGCAGTGTCTGAAAACAGGGCATGCTGCAAGTACACAACTGGCCGGGGACCTGTGACGGTGGTAGAAAGACAGAAATCAAGAAGAATCTGTGATAAACAAAGTATGTTCAAACTGATAGCAACACACACCACACATAAATACATGCCAAGAATAGAAGACATAAACAGAATATGCTTTTCTTCCTATCATTAGTGCAGAGAATTATAATCATATAACTTCAATTTCTTGAGCACAAACTTTGTACCTGGAGCTAGGTAGAATGATTTACATGAATTAGCTTATTAAACTCTTATAATAACTTTTGAAAGTAGTGCTATTTTAAAGATGTAGAAAACAAGGCTTAGGGAAGATAAGTGATTTTCCCAGCAGGTCTTTCAACTCACAAAAATACAGAGAAGAGACAAACCTGATTCTGTCTCATTCCAACAGAGAATTGTAACTGCTCTGTTTTTATGCATTCATTTACAAATGGTCACCAATTTATGACGGTTTGACTTACTGTTTTCAACCTTCCCATGTGCAAAACTGATAATGTATTCAATATAAATCATACTTCAGATTTTGAATTTTGATCTTTTTCTAGGCCAGCAATATATTATATAACACTCTGAAGATGCCGGTCAATGATGGCAATGACCATCAGCTCCCAGACAGGCATGTGATCATGTGGATAAATGATCCATACTACACAGTGCACTGTGTCGTGGAGCTATGGTGTTCAGTAGGTCAGCTGTATTAAATTCACTTTTTCTTACACTACTTTAAATTTTTAAGTTGATTTTATCAATACATAATCCCATGCTAAGTTGAGAAGCATCTGTAAACATAGGTTCTGCACGTGGCTTATAAAGATGCACAATATATCATGCTTAATGGATCCCTACATCTCTTCCAGGGAGGAAGAGGAGGAGAGCATAAATAAGCACTTGTAAGTTCCTCACCAAGTCTAACTCAAACTCCAGCCTCTGCTCACTGGAGAACATTGGCAAACTACAACAGTAGTTTTTATATTTAAAGAATTAATAATTAATAAGTAGAATTAGCTTATCCTTCTTTCAACTCCCAAATTCATAAGGGAAAGTTTGCAGGAAGAACCAGGAAGAACAATGCAGAACAGTAACCTTAATTCAGTGGCTGCCTGGAGTCCTGGTTCTGTGTCTTGGTTGTGTGACTATGGGCTTGTTACATAATCTGTGGTGCCTCAGTTTCATCATCTGTAAGATGGTGACTACTGGGTTGCTGGAGGTTTTAACTGATTTAAATTATTTAGAATAACACAGAAAATAAATGGTTTTTAGCTACAAATATTTCCAAAATTCTCTGTCCTTAAGCAAACTTTTTTCTATAAGATTTTTCCTCCTTTTTTATTTCATAGTTTCCTTGCCCTCAAGCCTGTTATTGCCCAGATTTAGTAAAAGACAAACCCCAAGGTAAACAAAGAGATGCAGGATGCACTATTAAATTTGAAATCATGATAACAACAAATAATTTCTTTAGTACAAGCACAGCCTAAATTGGAAATTCAAAAAAACCTATTTGTTGCTTATTCTGCTTTCAAATCTAACTGGAAATCCCATACTTTATCTGGGAGAACTATCTATATCCCACTCCCCTTTTTCATTTTTGAAACTCTTGAATTTATTTATTCAGTATTATTTATTAATTATCAATTAGTATTAAATATTTATTATAAATTTTTTTTTCTTAGAGTGTCAAACAAAGTGATTTTAGCTGTCACTTAAAAGTGGTGATGGGAGAAACCAGGCAGAACCAACATGGTAAGCATCTGCCAATAAGTGACTTGCCTTTGAGTCTTTGCACATATTTTGCTTACTCTTATTTTTCCCTTCTGAAAGCCTGTGCAGTTATAGTTCATTTTTAAGAAGCACTATCCCAGGCTTCTGTATCCTTGGCTCCTCATTCTACCATTCAGGCCTCATTTTACAACACCAGGCTGTTCCCATTCATAAACCGTCCCTTAGGCCAAGGGGCATGTGAATATTGGTTATCCTTCCTGGAAAAAGTTTCAGAAGTGCTACTGACATTTCACTTGATGTTTTACTCCGCAGAGAAAGGATCATGGATCTTAGTGGGAGCAAAGGAAGCTTGTCTGGGTACCCCACTGGAGTCAATTTCTTTCCACCGAGAAAAACCTCTTCCAACAATGAGGAAATCCAATATCCTGGGACATATGAGGAACCAGGAATGATCTAATAAAATGCAGGCTCCACCTTGGCATTTCCAACCTAAGAAACAACCCCAGTGGCTCTGAGTAAGATCAGTCATGCCTTTGGTATTTTTAGGCTTTTATCTGTTTTTGAAGAATTAGAGGCAAAAGAATGAGTCTCTTTTTTAGAGACCACCCTAATAATTCAAACAAATTTTGATAAAGTACTCTCTTTATGAATATCCAGCTTTACATTTCAGGCACATGCAGTCCCTTCTCAGCAGCCGCGTATCTTGTACCTGTGCTCCTAGCATGCCGTCTTCCACAGGGAATCCTGTTGATGCTGAGTATGTACCCATCGGCAGTGGTGACTTCATACTCTTCGCTGGGGTAGCCATTGTAGGTGATGATTTCACTCTGCCCAAGGAAAAGACAGCCATCCACTAAACTTCTTCTCTGAATGACATCAAAAGGAACTAGAACAAAGCACCTAGTGCATCTTATTGGGGTGGAGTATGTAAAATCTTCAGCCACAAGTAACCATAAAATTAATCTACCCACTTAAAGTCTTCATAAAAATAGTCAGATGTGGTGGCATCCTCCTGTAATTCCAGCTACTTGGGAGGCTAAAGGAGGAGGATTATAAACTCAAGGCCAATTTGAACAACTTAGTGAGACCCTGACAAAAAAAAATGAAATAAAGTAAAATGATAAAATAAAAGGGGCTGGGGATGTGGCTCAGGGGTAGAGCACACCTGGGTTAAACACCCAGTACCTAAAAAACTAAAAATAAAAAAAAACAAAGCAAAACAAAAGAAACAAGTAGAATGTTAGATAATATCTTGTGTAGGCAAATTTTGAGGGGGGTGATATTCATCACTGACATATTCTTTCTGACAAAGCCATATTTTCCACTCACTTGTCATTAGAGACTTTTCTTGGTTTAAAAATGATAAAACTATAGACTAGTAGAAGGCAGTCTCATGCATCATCCAAATGGCTTAATATTCTTAAAGTATACATTCAGAACAAGAGTTGGTGTATATAATACAATACAATTCTGCTTTGTATTACTAGTAGAAAATATTAATTATTCAACTGAAGGAGCAGATCTACCTAGCTTGACCCTTCTAGAGTTGTTAAAAACCATCCACCTGTTTTTCTTATCAGAGATTTTCCCCACCACCCACTAATCCTGCTTTATTTGATGTTCTTTGGAATTGCTCTTGACTTACAGTGTTCATCCACACCTCAGGATTCACTTCATTTTCCAAATTAAAGAATCCACCAGCATTTAATGTTCCACAAATCAAACAAACTGTTGTTAAAAACAGCCACATCACAGGAATGCCTGGCAGAAAACATTTAACATTCACAGATTTATTTCATCCATCAACCTTGACTTGTGAAATAAAAACAGTGCCCTAATGGAAACTGGAGTAAGATCCTGGGAACATTGATAATGTTTGGAAGACAACAGATAAAATGAACTAACTCCGAGCACTATTAATCTACTTTTGCACATAGAAACTGTCTTGGCATAGTCCAGTTCTTAAAAGGGAATGAATTCAATTTAGCACGGAGGCTTGTTTTTTTTTTTTTTTTTGCTCTTATTTTAATCATTTTTTAAAAATTTATTTTAAGTCATTGTTCATCTGTGAGGTACCTGAATTCCTAATGATTTATAGGACAAGTTTCCACATCACAGCACAGTGAAAGTAGAGGTGTCTCTAGGGTAGACCAGAATCCCACAAAGCAACCAAGAATCTTGAATTGATGAAGCTTTTGCCAACAAACAAGCTATGATCAGCTTCTCATGCTGTGACTATGTCATATGTGGACATCCAGAGGAATAATCTTGCACATGTCCATGTGTACCTCACTTTCTTGCCATGGTTCAAAAGCAGTTTGAAAAGCAGGCTGACACCAGTAAGAGAGTAGCTTGCTCATCATCTGAGTGTGTTGCAGTCAACTGGCCTGAACTTGAAATTCAGCCTCACCACAAGCAAGATTTTTGACCTTGGGCAAGTTATTTTGTAACTTTGTCTTTTTGTTTGTCAGTATCATAAAGATAATAATGTAAACTATTTCAGAGTGGTATAGGGAGGGCTAAGTGACATAATATATATAACACACTCAGTGCAGTGTAAGTCCTTAATAAATGTTTTTACTATTTTTCTTTTTCTAAGAATAAGTCAGGGACTAATACCAGAGAGCTTTTACTGTAACAAAACCATGTCTTATTTACAAAACTTAACAGTTTACTTTTGAAGCAAAATAGCTTTCAATACATTTGCTACTTAGATGTAGATGATTTTATATCTGTAAATGTTATATAATCTAAACACTGCTTTGAGACTATTAGTAGCTAATGGTAAGTGCTTACCTTATGCTAGGCATTGTCCTCAGTGCTTCATAAGTTAAAGCTAGAAAATCTCCATGAAGCTGGTACCAATACTCTCCATTTTATCAATTAAAACAAAACAAAACAAAAGCTTGGAGAGATTTAATTCCTAGTCAAGAATACAGAACAAGCCAGTGACAGGTCTAGGGTGGGTAAGAAGGCAGCCTCTCCTCAGAGCTCTTGCATCTGAGAGCCATTGCCATCTGGCCTCCCAGTTGTGATAAAATCTCCATCTTTCCTACTTAGGTGAGCTTCACCTGCTCCCAAGGACTCCTGATTGATGAGGAACTTCTGAATTTTTGCTTTTGACATCAGGCTGAAGAGTAAGATATGGTTGCAGTAACTATTAGAAACTAGAGAGATGAGAAACAGGAAGCTTGTGGAAATGAGGAAAACTTGGACTGTGCCTCACCCAAGGCGTCTCCTTGGCAAACACAGTGTCATGATACAGTTTGCATATTGGGAAATTGTGGTCTACATAATGCCAAGTAACCACTTTGGCTGAATCATTCATATTTCCACTGTCCTTGTGGGGAGTGTTCAGTAACATTTTCAAACCAGTGCATGGAACGGGGAAGTAGATCAGGATTCTAATGGACAAAATCAGAGATAATAGTATCACCCCTCAAACCCCATAGTCTAACAGTGAGGATCCAATGAAGCAATGTATGTGATAGTGTCAACCATGTAGTTCACAGGAATATGCATCACTGTCACTCAACAGAGAAGATGAAGCAATTTGGTTGGTGATGCTTGAGACCAGAAGAGTTTGGAGCTAGCAGTGTGGCAGAGGAAAGTGACTCACATGTTAAATGTATTTGGCCTATTGTCAACTTTGGCAGTAACTGCTGTGTTTGCTGACTCAGAAACCATTTAACTACTGCTTTAAACGAGGTAGGAATGGAAGCCTGAGAGAATAATGAAGACAATTTATCTCTAAACTCTACATGAAATATCACATAATGGAGGCACATGTGCTCAGTTTTCTACTTCACTTTTTATACCTATAGAGACTAAACATGAACTCAGTCTCTTTTATCACAGTATGAAGGACAGGGAAAATTAAGTTGCCACCCAGCATGACACACGAGTTTCACTTCTATTCATTTAGACTCATTGTCAAATTCCTTCAGAAACAAAGGTATGGTCAGTATTTGTCCAAATTCTAAGATCTGTTTCAGTTAAGTGGAAATTCTGTGCTACTTAAATAAATGTGGAGCAAAAGGAAGATCTCAGCATGTTGAAACAGGGAAAAGTTACGTACCACTCGCTACTCATTCAGTCTTTGATGAAAAACTCCACTATGTTTTGTTCTGATCGATTGTGTGATGACAGAGGTGTATGGACTTGCTTGGAATTGCTCATGGCTTTTGATTTTAAAATGATCTTTACTGACAAAACTTAAATGGATTCTAGAGAGTTCTAAGATTATTATTATTATTATCATTATTATTTTGTTGATTTGTTGCCATAATTTAATGTAGAAATAGCATGAGTATAGTTCAACTTCTCAGGTCTTTACAGATTGTAGACTAACTCAAACCTCAAAAAATTACTATATCATTGATTTCTCATATTCTTTTCTTAATTTTGAGGGTTAGCTTAAAATCTGAGTAATTCTTCCAATTCTTTTGCTTTTTATAGAAACAAAGCTGTAACAAATAAACGACACTAAACTTTTTGGCAGTTTCATTACTCTTCTTATATAATCTTTCTATTTTAATAAATATTCAGCATATTATTAAATATTATGTATTATTATACTTAGTAATACATGTGTGTGTTAAGCACAATAATGCATATCCATTTTATTATACAGAGACAAATCTATAATAGTAACATATGTAATTATTATATAGCTTAATATTCATATTGACATTTATTTAAATAAAAATTGAAAATTCTTCCTTAGCCCTGAGAAATATAAAATGATAGCCTCTATTCTATTCATCTATTATTAGTTCCATTCCCCCCCCCACTCATAAAATTAGATGATAGTAGAGCTAGAAAGGTATAGGGGCAAAATGTATGTTGAGGGGCAATCTTTTGGACAAACAAGTATTTCTGATATCTTGATTTAAGAATTCTGTCACAGCTTGGGCACAGTATTTGTTGACCACCGTCCACTGAATTATCAAGATGGCTGAAAATACATGGTCAAACATGCATCTCTTGACTGTGACAATGGTTCTCATCTAATTAAAAACATGTGTACTATAGCAATGGTTTGTCTTTTTGTTTGATTGCTTCTTTCTCCCCCAAAACTGTTTTTTATCTTAACACATCAACTTTTTGCAAAAGGGTGCATAATTTCCCCTTAAATATAATTCCAAGTCTTAAGACTTAGGCAATAAACAAAAAATAGAAAATAATAAGAAATTGAAAAAAATTAATAATTTGAAAGTTTATACCTTTGAGACAAATTTTGCCCTAGAGTATGACTTTGCAGGAATGGGAGCCTGGAATTTACCTCTTGCCTCCTAGATGATTAACTCATTCTGCACCCTAAAATTCAAATAGGGCTCAACAGAACCATGAGAGAGAGAGAGAGATGGGGGGAGGGTGTAAAATGATTAATTAACACATTCTGACTGTGGGAAAATACTTTAAATTTACATGTTAAAATTTTATTTCCTTACCCATAAAGAAATATTCATGATATCTATAAGAAAGTGTTGCTTTTGAGATTCCCTGTTAGATTGGAACATGTTTTCTTTAGTGTTGGTGACAATAAATCTTCATTTAAGGACCACTAAACTACACCCATCTTAAAAAACAGCATAGTGATGATAAAGAGACAGGAGAAATGGCAAAAAGAGAGATTGATCATAAATAAATAAAGTATTAAAGGTTTCTGAAGAGACCATAATAAACTAGTTGAACATATACCCATCTCAATACAAAATAGTCAAAGGAAAATAACTTACATTTAAAGAAAAGTTTTTACCCAAAATGCTGGTGGCTGCCCTTGATGATGTCCATGTCCCCAATGGCAGGATCTGGATTGTATTTATGGAAAGGTCACAGCTTTGTGAGAACAAAGAGGAAGGGCCGTACCATTGAAGGGGGAAATTATATCATCTACTCCTCCAAGCAGGCTTACCTGCCTCCCTGCTTGCCTAATGTGCACCACTTAAGTGTGGTAGTTCCTACAGCTCATTTTGCATTTGAATTATTTCTGTAGGAGGTACATTCAAATGGAGATTCTTTTTTAAAACACACACGGAACACTTAGCCAGGAATTCAAGTTGGATCTAGTTTTAGATATGGTGTCATCCAATTTTATGGGTAAATGAAATTATGACTGGAATGTACAAAGAGGTAACACTGACTCTTTTGAAATATACACCTATGTCTATCCTGAGTTCATATTCTGTTTTTGTTCAATTACTGATAAATCACTTTCAAATCTCACCAGCATCCCTGAAAATAAGTAAGTGGTTTTTAGTGTCAGAGGATTTTGATTTCATTTCCCCCTTCCCCATCAACATCACCTTTAAAGCAATGAATGGATGGATTGATCTAGAAGTCCAGAAAATGTAGCCTACTGAGTGAAGGATTGAGTACTTCCTCTGTCAGTTTTACTTTGAGATGCTTGACTATGAATTCTCCTGGATTGCTCTGCTAAGTGTTCCAAAGGAAAGTGTTCTTAACATTATCTAGCAAATTTTAGAGGAGACATAAAATTTATGGGAAAAACTCAATTTTGCTGTATGTTTGAACTAAAGTAGGTATTAGTATGCTTAGCATACTGATTCAATAAAAAATTGAAACTTGATAGCAGTTTTTTCCCCCTATGCAGCCTCTAAATTACCCTCAAACCAGTAATTTGCTATGGCACAATCTAACATCTTTCATACAATCTGTATTCTCTCACTTCTGCATATGTTGCAGAATTAGTCAAGTTTTCTATAAATAATCAGAAGTTTTAAAAGAGAATTTCCAATGTGAACTACATATGTAATTTAAGTTTTTAATTAATCACATTTTTAAAAAATCTAAAGAAATAGGTGAAATAAATTCTAATGATTTATTTAAACCAACATAATGTGATACATTTTAAATTATTAATTATTAATAATTTATAATTTATATAAAATAAAATTTTATGTAATTTTTATGACTTTTTATAATTTTATGAAATTATTAAATTTGTTACCATCATTTTGATGTGTAATCAATATTATTATTAATGAGATACCTTCCATTCTTTTTTCACCCTCAGTCTTTGAAATCTGGTGAGTGTGTGTGTGTCTGTTACATTTTTGCACATCTCAATTTGAATTAGCCACATTTTAAGTACTTGGTAGCCACATCTTCTGACGGCAGCTGTGTATTAGTATAGCTCTGAACAATAAATCTTATGCTCATTTTTTTCTTTCTCCCTCAAATATTTCTTTAACCAGATTCTATTTTTTTATATAATACTCACCCTAAATATTTATTTCATATTGTATGTTTAACATGATTTGAATGTCTGCCTACCAAATTTCCTTCTCTCCTAGTCATTAATACATATTTTCAAGTGCTTGGCTTCTATTCTCCAACTGAGATTTGAGTCTTTTTTTTTTAATATTATTTTTTAGTTGTAGTTGGACACAATATCTTTATTTTATTTTATTTTTTTATGTGGTGCTAAGGATCGAGATTTGAGTCTTAATCTCCCCCAAATAAAAGCATTTATATAAATTGTTAGCTATAATCCTATATCAAAAACAATACCCTCTACTGTTACAAAAAAGATAGCTTGTTATATTGACCCACTCAAACAAATGCTAAATTATTATGTGGTTTTTAAATAATTTAACATTTCCTGATAAAGGGTGACTAATATGATTATGTCAACATTTATGCATTTGGAAATTTTGTGGATCTAATTCTTTGAGAGTGTTGGTCGAAGGCTCTACAGACAAAACAGCTTTCTTGAAGGTCTTGCTTTGAGACCATGGATATCAGCACAAATCTACAGATTGTCCATAAAAGAGGATGGAGTCCCTTGTATAGACCTGAGAAATATTTGTCTTTGGCTAGTTTTGTGTTTTCAGATAGCCATGCAATAACCTGGGCTGCCTTTCTCCCTGCCAGGACCATCCCAAACTCCTCACTACTCCCTGTGCCCTCTGCAGTCATTCTCCATGTTGCAGCCATTATCATCATGTTTAATTGCCCATCTGATTGTGTTTTTTTTTTTTTAAAAAATATTTTATCTGTTTTATTTCTTTTTAAAAATTTATTCTAATTTGTTATGTATGACAGCAGAATGCATTTCAACTCATATTACACATGTAGAGCACAATTTTCATATCTCTGGTTATACACAACATAGTCACACCAACTCAAAAATCTTAACACCAAAAAAAAAAAACAAATAAACAAAAACAAATAACACAATCAATAAATGGGCCAAGGAACTGAACAGACACTTCTCAGAAGATGATATACAATCAATCAACAAATATATGAAAAAATGTTCAATATCTCTAGCAATTAGAGAAATGCAAATCAAAAGTACTCTAAGATTTCATTTCACCCCCAGTCAGAATTTTACCCCAGTCAGCTAATAAGAATACAACAACAATAAGTGTTGGCAAGGATGTGGGGGAAAAGGCACACTCATACATTGCTGGTAGGACTGCAAATTGGTGTAGCCAATAGGGAAATCAGTATGGAGAATCCTTGGAAAACTGGGAATGGAACCACCATTTGACCCGGCTATCCCACTCCTCAGTCTATGCCTAAAGGACTTTAAAACAGAATACTACAAGGACACAGCCACATCAATATTTATAGCAGCACAATTCACAATAGCTAAACTTTGGATCCAACCTAGATGCCCTTCAGTAGATGAATGGATAAAGAAAACGTGGTATATATACATAATGAAATATTACTCAGCAATAAAAGAGAACAAAATCATGGCATTTGAGGTAAATGGATGGAATTGGAGAATATAATGCTAATTGAAGTTAGCCAATCCCAAAAAAACAAATGCAGAATATTTTCTATGATTTAAGGATGCTGATTCATAATGTTGGGGTGGGGGGGCGGGCATGGGAGGATTAGATGAACTCTGGATAGAGCAAAGGGGAGGGAGGGGAAGGGAGGTGGTGGGGCAGGAGAGGCAGTGGGATGAGATAGACAACATCTGATTGTGTTTTAAGCACTCTTGAGATTTAAGTCCTTCAATGTGGTTAGGAAGGCCTAAAAACAAGGCTCTGCCTACTTCTTTTGAGTTCATCTTGCCCCACTTTCCCTGGATCACTCTGTTTTCTTAATTTTCTTCATTAAGCCTGGTTTCTTGCCATCTGCACTAGTTCTCTGTAGATATTATAGGTCTCAATTGAAATATTATGTGCTCAGAGATGTCTACCCAAAGGAGCACTTCTTTTAGGAAGATTCATCACAATTATAGTTAAATATTTAAATGTCTAAATGAATGTGAATGAATATCTGGAGAATATCTTGTCTGCCTTTTTTCATTACTCTAAGTTCCACTTGGAAAAGAACAGTGTCTACCTGTTTGTTCCTGTTATTCTGAATGTCTAGCTACTTCATGATACATTTCAACATTATGGCATAAAGATTAAGAGCTTACATATCTAAAGTCAAGATTCTAGAGTTCAGAGAATAGGTCAAGTTGCCCAATATCTTGTTTCCTAATCTGTATGGAAAAGATACAAGCAATACCATTTTGTAAGGCTGTAATGAAGACTAAATAAGATGTACAGTGCTCAGACTGTTTTTCTTATTTAAAAGATTCTGTGAACTTGAAGGATTGTGGAGGTGATAGTTTTGGCAAACTATATGCTTCCCCTGTTTGTTGGTTTGTTTTCCATACGTACCAAACAACATTTTCATACTAGAACTTTCTATGTGTTGTATGTAGGGAAAGAAGGCACCAGTCTATGCAAAACAAACAAACAAAACAAAACAAATATGATAATAATTTTGGTCATATGTTTTTTATCTAAATCATAAATATATATTTTGAATATGGTCTGCAACTTCTCAAAAATTTCAGTTGCATGACTCAGCAAGACTAAGTGTAGTCATTTCTGAGACAATGATAAGACTGGGTGTCAGAATGTGCCAATATGATATGCCATACACACCATAGAGGTGTCTCCCTGTAAATCTTTTGTGTCTGCCCACCAGCCTTTCTCTTTCAAGGCTCAGATCTTATTTAATAAAATCATGTCTATAGCCCTTTTATTTATACCAAGAAAATCTTGAGAAATAAGTCTTAGCCAAAGGTGTATTAATTATATGTCATAAAGATGCCCAGTTTCTACATGATTCGGTCAAGTGCTTCAGAACAGAGATGACAATCCCAGCCTTAGTCATTTATTGATCACTAACTCTACCAGAGTGATGATGCTTGCAAATGTGATAATGTATAGATACAGCCATTGCCTTCAAGAAGCTGGCTCCCTTCTGAGTTCATTTGGAACCCAGACCACCTCACATTCTTTGCTTTTTTATCTGTCTGTAGATACTCTGACACTTCTTTCACTACTTTGGTCATCCTTTTCCTCCTCTGGAATGTCCTCTGACACTTCAGCCTTCTATGGTCTTCCCATGCTTTGAGGTTCAACAACACCCCATGCCTAACATTCAAAGGATGTTTCACATCTATTATATCCTGTTACCTTTCACACACATACAATTATATCCATATCAAGCTCACAACCTTGAGAGCAGATAGTAAAGCTCTTGGCAACTAGAACAGACAGCTAGTTATTTGCTTTGTCTTTGAGAACTTAATGATTTCTGGTTCCTCAATGTAACAAGATAACGCAGAGGTCTAACTTACAAAGATTATTAGGACTGAGTGAGGTCATATGTATGAACTTGGTACTTAGCAGGAGCTCAATAAATAGGAATCCCCTATTTGCTTCCACACATTCCATACCATTTTCCCTCCTCTTCCCATAGTAGAGAACATAACACTAAATAAAATATGTGAATAAATAGAGAAAAATGGGCTGAAAATACCATTATACAGGCAAAAATGCACCGAAAGGCAAGATAGCATTGTGATTAGGCAGGGGAGAGTCATGGTGAGTCAAGAATGCTTGGTC